AATGGAGATAAGGGTTGAGTACCAAGTCATAAATTAAATATCACCAATAATATTACCAATAAAATTATTTTGTAAATAACTCTACCGGTCATTCTATTAGTAAAAATATCATGTCACCGTATGAGTTGTCTTTTTGAATCCCGTTGTAATACTCTTCATCATTCCCTTTGTATATATCAAAGAAAATTTTCTATCGGTGTTTATTGATGGATACAAGGATAAAAATTTTTATTGGTAAAGGTCAATGAACATACCGATAAATTTTTTCTATAGATGTTTCAATTTATATTTATTAATTTTCTGGTAATGAAGTATGTCAACATCATATAAGCAAAGCAACCAGCCTATATATATCGGGTGGTCATCATTTCTTCCCATGATATATTTTTTTAGTTTTATTACAGGCATACCTTTCATTTATTAAAAGCGATGTAATGAAAGATGAATACCTGTAAAACAAGTCCAATGTTAGAATTTAAACACCCTTTGCTTGAGTTTGTTAAATTGTACGAGGAATGTAATCTTAAATGTTGTGTATTGTATGTTTGTAAAAAATAATAAAGATATAATACATGTAATAGCTAAGAAAATTGAAATGTTAGTATGAGTTGGATTTATTGAACTTGTCTTACCTGATGATTCATGGGTGTTTATATACTCGTGAACCATATAAACTTACAAGAAAATAAGAGTAAATCAAAGAAAATGTTGTATTACCTATTTTAGAGGCAATCTTTTAAGATAATAGCTCATAATGATTAATAACACACTATTGAAGAGAAAGGTGATGGTGATAGGTGAGTTATTTGCTGGTATAGACATATATTATTGTAATTCAATGAGCTCAATTATAACAAGAGATCACATTAACATATAATGTTATATACCAACTATATAGAAAGTAGGTGGAGAAATTAGGAGTCAAATGTGTTTGTCAAGAAAAATATCTTTATACATGTGTTTTATTCTACCTTGGGATGTTACCTAGTCAGGTTACATGGAAAACTCGAGCCCAACTTAAAGATTGATGTATCTTAGAATACTTTGGTCACCCAGTGAAGATTGCATTAATTAGGTGAACTCAACTCTTAGATTGTAGAATCTCTTGGGTCTAATAAGTTGTTAGATCACTTAATGTTGTCGAACATTAAAAAAAAAAATTTAGTTGTCGAACATTAAAAAATAAATAAATTATACTCTAACTTTAAAGCTTCATCTAAGTGGGGTAGGGGGCTTCATTTGAGTGGGGTAGGGGGTTTATGACTAGTCAAGGCTTATAGACCTTCTTTATATTTCATGCTAAGATTTATGATGAGATATGCAAGACCCCAAACCTAATTTTATTATTAACATGCTAAACTTGGACAAAAGATAAGGGTACTAATCACGATCTTTTTTATGTTTAATATCAAACCAACATGAACGGAATATTGGCTATATGTTGTACACTAAAATTAACCAGAGAAGTCATGAAGTCTAGGCTAAAGGAAAATAAATACATACCTTGTTATGGGTTGGACTTGATAAGGTACAAACTTGTATGAATAATTGATTACCATAAGCACATAAGATAATAAAATTAAGCACTTTCAGACATGTATCCTTGAAATAAAGATGAGTGGTTATAAAATGATTGTCTATAATCTAAATATACAGAGAGGTTTAAGAAAGAAGAATGATACATAACAAAAATAATTTAACAAATTAATAATAATAATTGCTATGCAATTGAATCAAGTTTGCAAGATTTTCAAAACTTGTCTATCAGTAGACTTGTAATTCCACGGAAAGATATATAGCTTGTAGGTTGATAATTTATAGACGGTAACTAGTAGGCTTGTAATCCAGTAAGCTTATATATATATATCCATGCTCTCTAGTTAAGAATTTGCAGGACATGGTTGTGATCAAATCAAGAATCACTCTATAAATATAAGTTGTTTGATCTTAAATTATTAAGTTATCCTTTTGAATTCAAAGTATTCAAGTTATTTAATTACTTCTTAAGTTTATAATACTTGAATTAAAGTTACATCATTATAAATCTAGAATTATAAGGATAGTACAAAACTCAAGTTCAGTTTAAATACAAAATTACAGTATTTTCGTTCACATTAGATTGAGTGTTCAACTTTGAAATCCAAAATCTTCTTGAGTCATTCATAAAAAAACCCTAAAACACTATCCAAGACAAATTTTGCCCATAAACTAATATATATATATATATATATGTATATATGCCACTAATGCCGTTAGTTAAGAAATTAACACACCCCTTCGCCAGAATTAATATTCATATTGAATCATAGGGTTGTGTTAAAAAGTTGCTGTTTGCATCAAATTTCAACACTCTCGAACATTGATGGAGTCGTCCAAAGGTGAGTGATCAATGTATAGTATTTGTTACACATTTTCCCCTCTGCATACCCATATTCTTCATAAATTATTGCCGCTTGATAGAACAACAAATTCTAAAGAAATCCTCGTTACACCTCTAAATTATGCATACCCATATTTTTCATAAATTATTGCCACTTGACAGCACGACAAATTTTTTTTTAAAATCCCTTACAGAGAAAATCACAATTCTGATACTCAGATATATACCTGTCTATGCACTGGACCAAACAGCCTTTAGTTTCTGTTTTTTATTGGTCATTCTTCAGACACTACTAAAGAAACAAGAGAATTTTTGTTCCCTGAAAGGAAGGAACAAAAGAGTTAGATTTCCTTACGTTCCAGAGATAAACTTCCATTGACACCTCAATTCTTTGTTAGGTAAACAACCAAATTTACCATAAAAAAAGTTATCTATCCGCTTGTAAAATCATACTACCTGTACATTCTAGTTTGAAAGATTTCTTTTCCTTTTTTCCTTTTATAAAATAAAAGTCTATTCAAATTATATTTATATATCAAGATCATATTTATTTTCTATTAAATTTTAAATATTTATATTTATACGGGTGGATTCATAAAAAAATATTTTTGATCATAACGTAGGTTTTTTTTTCCGCTAACAAAGAGGTCACCTAAAGAGAGCATGGACCATTTGACAAGGATATACCCATGGCCTCTAAAACTAATTACACATAAAGGATGCTTGCAGGCGAGTTGTGGTCATCAACTGTAAAGAAACTTGAAGTAGCGTCCTTTTCTCCTATCCCTCCAAACTTATCCTCCATCTCCACTTGCAATGGTTTATTTATAGAGCATCTATTGTAACCTCTGTAACTAATTTATTACTCTCCTCTCATCTCCTCCATGGCTCCATCCTTTCTCAGCTTTGCGTCACTATACTCCTTCTATCTTCGTCATTGCTTCACCTCCTCCGGCCTTTCACAACAATCCATCGACGTTGGTGATGAGACCATCATCCACTTCTGGGCACCCACTCAACTGCGTCAACCCAAACCAAATTTGGTCTTTATTCATGGCTTCGGTCCTGTCTCTCTATGGCAATGGCGCCAGCAGGTTTGGCTTTAGCTTTTCTTTTTTTCTTCCTTTTTTAGAGGATCAACCCCCATCCCTTTTCTTTTATGTATGTAGAGAATCAATCTTGAAATTCCCTTTTCAGAAATCACAAGCACTCATCAATAGAAATCACAAGCACTCATCAATCTTCAAAACGTTGTTGTGTTGGCCTGGTGATTTAGGTTGTAGGACTTGAAGATGATGTGTGGTTTAGGCTCAGAGCTGTAGCTAGGTTCAATTCCTGATGCAAACAACTCCACGTTTAGGCCAATTCTTTGACCAATTCACATCCTATAATAGCGATATATATATAGATGCTGAGATTTCAAGGAAAAAATGTCTGTAAAGTCATAATTTTGATCGTATTTGGTGAAATCTTTTGCAGGTTCAATTCTTTGCACCTGACTTCAATTTGTACGTCCCTGACTTGATATTTTTCGGTGACTCGACAACAAAATCCTCAGAAAGGTCAGAGATCTTCCAGGCGGAGTCGGTGGCGAAGCTGCTTGAAACGTTAGGTGTGGAGAAGTATTCTTTGGTGGGCACAAGCTATGGTGGGTTCGTGTCATACCACATCGCAAGGATGTTTCCAGAGAGGGTTGAGAGGGTGGTCATAGCAAGCTCTGGGGTCAACATGAAGAAGAAAAATAATGAAGAGCTTGTGAAGAAGGCAAATTTGGAAAAAATTGATGATCTTATGTTGCCGCAAAAACCTTCAGATTTGAGAGCTTTGCTAGGTGTTGCTGTGTCCAAGCGAAGTCTCCTCATGATTCCTGATTTTTTCTTGAATGACCTCATAAACGTACGCAATTTCTTGATTTCTATCCTTTTTTTTTCCCTTGATGTGGTAATTTCTATTTCTAGCTCAATTTTATAAGGAGCTAAAGATTGTTTAAATTTCTGGAAGTAAATTCCAGAAAAGTCTTAAGTAAAGGAGATAGATCATGGCTATTAAAAAAACTAGATCACTATAAATTCCAGAAAAGTCTTAAGTAAAGGAGCTAGATCATGGCTATTAAAACTAGATCACTGTCAATTCTTTTTTTATTTAGATAATAATATAAAATATATTTTAAAATCTTACCTAAAAAAAGCTTTTATTAAAAAAAAATATAAATTATACTTTAAAAATTTATATAACAACTTAAATTTTTATATAAATTTCTTTTTGATATATAAAATTAGACCACTAAACCTTCCACCCTCCTCTATTATTAAAAAACAGAGTGCCCCTCTCACGATCTTTCCGGAAACAAATGAGCTATCAACTCCTGTATAAGTCTCAAAAGTAGAACAGTATATTAAGCAAATGAAGGATCAAGAAACTGCTAATGTTCTTTAAGATTGATTTGCTCTTAGTGTTCTCTTGAAATCAACATCATTTTCCAACCACCAAGAAAATGATTAGGGCCGCACAGGAGGTTGTTGGATAGGTCGCTGATAAATGGATGCCTGCGGGACCATGCTTTAATGTAAAGGGAACTTGTGGTCGTGTTAGGTGTAGACTTCTCTGGATATTCAATTGGACACATAAAAGATCCGAGCATATATAATTTGTTAATTGGGATATCCTATCAGAATTAAATAACTTAAAATAACCTTATATTTTAGAAACAAAATATTTGTTTTTAAATTTTATGTTTGTTGATACTAGATATTTTTATTTTAAAAGATTAAAAGTTTTGAATTTTTTATTAAGATAATTTATGGGATATTTATACTCTCTAAATTTTATTATTTATTTTTATAAAAAAAAGAGAAAATCATTTGCTTTTGATTATATTAATAGAATATAATAAATATTAATATGATAGTAAGTATGGTAAGTCTCTTAAATTTTTTTATATACATCTATAAATATAAAACAAACATTACATTAATATTAATAATTATTCTAGATAGAGAGACATGATGGTTTATTATGTCTTTAAAACTTATATTATAAAATATTGTCTAGGGTCAGACATAAAGCTTTAAAACTTAATAATATCTAAGTTCTTTAGACATGATATGTTTGTCAAAACAATGTTACCTTAAACTCAACAAACTGTCAAATCTAAATACCTTGTGTCTGATATGTTTATCAAATCCATTTAATTTAAGAATATCTTTATTTATAAAAATCTTTAAAAAAAAGTTAACTCATTGGATATCAATATGTTTCTCTTGGTCCATGGAACAAAAAAAAAAAGGAAAAGCAAAATTAATAGCAATATAAATTGTTAAATAATAGAAATTGTTTCATTAAAGGTAATTTATCATTCATTTTGCAGCTGGTTCATATAGACACCCTAGGTTGTTTTTTATTCTTCTGATTACACTAGATTGTTCGAGGTTTTATGTAATAGTATCTATTAACGAGGACAATTTCTTAATTTTCGAAGAGCTTCAGCCCCGTTGATATGATCAACTAGCTTCAAATGACAAATGGTTTATTCTCTTGGTCCATGGAACAAAAAAAAAAAAGCAAAATTAATAGCTATAGATTATAAATTGTTAAATAATAGAAATTGTTTCATTAAAGGTAATTTATCATTCATTTTGCAGCTGGTTCGTATAGACACCCAAGGTTGTTTTTTTATTCTTCTGATTACACTAGATTGTTCGAGGTTTTATGTAATAGTATCTATTAACGAGGACAATTTCTTAATTTTCGAAGAGCTTCAGCCCCGTTGATATGATCAACTAGCTTCAAATGACAAATGGTTTATTATGTGCGCAGAACTTGTTCGCAGAAAACAGGAATAAGAAAATGGAACTTCTGAGCGGATTAACCATTGGACAGGATGATGCAGTAAATATCTCTCCACTTCAACAGGTAGGTAACCTTTGATCCTCTGCTTACACAGCAACGTGATTGCCAGAAGCCGAATTGCACCAAACCTTGACTAAATTTTGAAATGATTGTGTGATGGTAGGGATGGAGATTTAATTCAAAATACTATACATAATATTTATTACTATTTTATTGAATATATGTGTGTGCGCCTCAAATATATATTATTATTTTATTTTATATTAATACTCGGATAATAAATATTTGAAATCCGATGAAAAGAATATAAATAGTTAGATATAATAGAAACCTAACCTATGGTATAATTGAAACCTAACTTATACGTAGCCATTGCTATCTAAGATATATTTTTAATTTTACTTTCATCATTTTATTGATGTTCTAGGGTTTCTGGTCTAACTAGACTATCCTAATTTCAAATATCAAACACTATTTGGGAATATGAATTGAAATTGTTCTGAGATTATAAAGCTAACACTCATTAGAATCTTGACTGAGACTCAAGATAATGGAAACCTAAATTTGAACTTGTTTTAATCTGAATTGTCGGTGCTATTAAGTACGGGCCCCCCTTATCACTCTAGTATTTTTAAAATAATGTTTGATATTAATACTCGGATAATAAATATTTGAAATCCAATGAAAAGAATATAAATAGTTAGATGAAATCTAACCTATGATATAATAGAAACCTAACTTATAGGTAGCCATTGCTATCTAAGATATATTTTTAAAATATTTTTTATAAAATAATATTTTTTTAAAAAAATTATTTTTAATATCAAAATAATATAAAAATATTAAAAAAAAATTAAATATGTGTAAAATATTATCTGAACTGTGTTCACAAACCGCAATAATGGAGTAAGTTTGCGCATCTAATCCCTGTCTTCCTCTGAATTGCTATGAAGGATGTCTTGTTAGTATGGGGAGATAAAGACCAAGTATTTCCTCTGGAGATGGCTAAGGATTTACAAGGGTACGTTCTCTTTATTATTTATTGTTTTATTCCGATCCATTTTTATTTTTATTAAGTTCTACGTGCCAAACTTATCTTTAACGCATTAATTGTTCTAGTGTTAATTTGAAGCTTTAATAAATGATAAGATTATTCAAAGTGAAATCTTTACATGTGGTGAAGTGATATGTTGTATGGCACATCAATTTGAACGAGCGATTGAATGTGGAATTTCTGCTTGCAGGCTAATTGGGAAGAACGTGAAGTTGGAAATAGTAAAGGACACATCCCATGTACCCCAAATTGAAAATGCAGCAGAATTCAACAAAATTATCAAAAATTTCTTGAGTGCCTCTCCGTGACTAATTATGTACCCTTTGCAAACTCTAAATTATGAGCATGTAATTGAATTTGTGCTGGGGATTATGCTAGAGGACTGAAGATTTACTGATTATGTGCACAATTCTTCTTAATGAGGGCATGCTTTCCCTTTTAATTCTTAGCCTTCTCCTCGCCCATAGCCTCCATAAAATCTGTTGTGGCTTCAGGATTTTGATGACGGTGGAGGAGTTTACAGGTTAAGATCTTCAATGGTTTTATTTTACATTGGATGCAGTGAAACAATTCACATGAACCTAACTTAGTTTTCCAAATTTGGGTTTAGGTTCTGTTGGATAATATGGTCGACTGCGAAGTGCGAGAGCAATATTCGTGGAGCTTGAATTGCGATGAGGCGAAATATCACCGATAATGCTTGAACCATCACTCTTGTAATTGCTTTTACGGCTACAAATCGCAATACCAAAGACATTTAACAATATTTCAATGGCGTCTTACTTTAAAAAGAAGTGTGCTTTGTGCTCTACAGCATAAAATGAACATGGACCTCTTAAACGAGGTTTAAACTCACAATTTACCCTCTCTATTGGCTTCTTCAACACCATGCATGGCAACTTTGGATGTTGTGAAGGGTTTGGGAATGGATTCATTCGTTCGTGAACTGTTGGAAACTTGACTTTTTTAAGAGTTCAATTCGAGTTTGTCTGTTAAGATTATCGTCTAGGTTTGACCTTAGCTAAGTTCAATTGATTTGAACTCGTAAATTCGATGCATTCTTTAGGTTTGTGGAGCAAGTTCATTTTAAGGCTCGCGGGAAAGCTTAGGCAAAAGATTGTAAACAAACTTATGTATGATAATTGGAGGGTGAAAATGTTGCATTAAATCTCATGAATAGGCTAAACCTACATAGCGGTTGTCAAAAATAAATTCCTATTTATTTCTTTATTTTTTATTATATTCAATTCTTTTCAATAGATGAAAAAGGGTGTAAAAATGTAAGTTAAGCTCATTTATTTACTCGTTTTAACAGGCAAAACTCAAAGACAAGTCCAACAAAATTTAAAGAGGTTGATTTTGAATTTCATATTTTTTACAGGGAAAGGCTAAGATGCCCTTGTTCTCATATGCCAACACAATTTTTAGCCCTTAATAAATACGAAAATCACACCTTTTAATGATATTCACTTTTTATTTTGTGAGAAAATCTTATGGTATACAGGGAGTAAGTAGTAATATTGTATTAATTATTTCACTAAGTTATTCTTTTTAAAAAAAGACTCACTTAAAAAAAAAATAGGTGGGAAAGATAAAATCAAATGAGGAACTACAAAAAGTAATAAACATATTTTTCCTTATAGGTTGTCTCTCTCATCTTTGTATCTATCTCTTTCTTTAAAGTAAATCTAGTAAAATAACTAATAACATATTACTAGTTATTCTCTATTATCAAAAAACTAACCAAAACTAAAATTCTCATATAAAAAATATATGTGTATATAAATACAAGCTTATGGCAACCATACATTTTGGTGTTCAAGGCATGGTGTCATAAATATGAAACAATTTTGAAACTCATCAAAAAATAAAACAAGATTAAATACATTTTAGTGTAAAATTCAAATAATTTATAGTCTTAAAATGAAGAAAAATCATATAGTATTCAAGGAGTAATTAATGATATCTTATTACTTATTTACTGAACTCACTTTAGAAATACAAATATATATATATATATAAAAAAAATTTAACTCATTAAAAGTGATAAGAATATCTTGATGAATGATTTCTCTCTCTTATTTATATTTGTTTTTTTATAAAAAAATTAGGCTAAAAAAATAACTAATATAATATTACTTATTATTCTCTAGACACCATAAAACTTCTCTCGAATTAGTGTATTTCATTTTTGGCCTCTTGGGCTGATTATCTATTCCAATTTAATCGACTTTTTTTTTTTTTTTTTGTCTTATGTTTTGTAGGGGATCTGACGCATGATTTGTATTTGATAGTTTCAACATAAAAACAAGTCTAGATGCTTTGAATGAGCTTTCCAATAAAAATGAACATGACTTTTTATTTGCTCATTAGATTGGGATGGAATTAAAAGGATAAATGGAAGGCACAAACAAGGATCATGATGAGAACGTCGGTAGAGAATTACATTGAGGCAAACCAAATGCCAAACTTGTTCCTCCAATCCCATATATACAACTTTATCTATTCCCAGAAATTTGATGTGAACAAGGTTAATAGAGATTGCAAGAGTTTTGCCCATTATGGTATCATGAGATATATGAAATCTGTTTGAGAGTTGATATCCTTATTTTCCATAAATATTTGGGCATAGATAAATTCCATGATGGGTTACTGAATATGATCAGCTTAAAGAAAATATCTCAAAGAATATGATTATAAAATTGATCTTATATAAATTAAAAAGATGCAGCTTATTTTTGAGGGAGAAAAGGGCTTGAAATAGTATGATCATACACGATAGGCTACCTCTTGCATCTAGGTTTCGAATGAAACTATTATTGAGGAATAAATTTGCTATGCTAGATTACAAATTAAAACCAAACACTATATTGCAAGGACATCTTAGTGAGCTATAATGTAAAAAAATAAAATTGAAAAAAGAAATCATCACCTAATTTTATGATAATTAAAATTTTTAATTAATTATTTTTAAAGGTTTTAAGTAAGGGATTTATTATTTTTAAAAAATTAAAAAAAATCTCAAAACATCTTAAATAAAACAAGTTATTTTATGTTTATTTTTTAATGATAAATACATTCATCTATGATATTAACATGCTAAGATTTTCAAATCACATACTAGATATTTTTATTCACATGTCAATATCCTTAAAAGACTTCTAGACGGTTCATTTATTTTGGGTTGACATTGTAAACAGCAATATGTATGTAATAAATCAACAATTGTCATGCATACGGAGGCAAGACATACCAAACTCATAGTTCAATATCACAATTCATAATCCATAGAAATCATAGCTCATAATAATTAACCAGACACTAAAATCATTCAAAACACATAAAAATTCATCTAGTGTTTAAGATTGACCTTCAAAAGCTGCGAGAATTGGTCGAAAAATCAAGGAAGCTGGCTCGTGGCGCATGGTAGCCATGCGCATGCTGGGCTGACAAGTTTGGAGGTGCTGTGCTACTTGGCACGTGTGTCCCACACTCTGACACCAAAACTCGTAAAATCAACAGCAAACAGCTCGATTTTTAGGTGGAAAGCTCCGATGACTACTGCTAGATTGTTTTGCATATGAGTTTAGGAAGATCTAGAGGGAAAGCTTATAATAATGGCGTGGGTGTTTTGGGTTGCCAAAGACTGTGATGGTTACGGGTCTATTCTATTACTATCACAATTTTACCTTGTTTGGTGGTGTCGGTGGCCGCGTCGGAGCGGGATAAGGGTTGAGATGTTGTTGTGAGGGCGGTCACAATTTAGAGGAAAATGTGGACACTAACAATGGCCGGCGCCGAGGTTGTTCTAGGCGGAGAGAGGGCCGCACATTAACAGGTGCTAATATTAAAATTAATTTAAAAAAATAAAAAAAAATATTTGAACATATCTTAAAAAATAAGAATTATTATGCTTTTGAATAATAAAATTTTCTCAGTATCCTGCTGAAAACCCAAATGCATTTCGGACAGCCGGTGGGACCCCACCATCCACTTTTATCCCAAAAATGGCAATGCAGACACCAGAAAAATGGCCCTCTGTTTCTTCTCTTCCTGAGGATGGGAGAGACAGCAAGGTTTGAATGGTCTTCATGGAATGTCGCATCGAATGGGGCCCTTTGTAAAGAGGTCAGAGTCTCAGTCTACACGCCTTTGCTGAAAACAAATGAAAGAAATTGTGATTTTTCTGTCAAATTCCATCTTCCCTTCGATATTTTTGCGCACTGGTTCCTTCTCTCTTCCACTTCCTGGGAATCAATGGGCCTTGATTGCTTCTTTTTATTTATTTATTTTTTTAAAGGGAAAGGCAACTCTTGAGCAGAGTTCAAGAATAAGTTGTTTTTTTATTGGTTTGATGGGATATTTTACCCCTGAATTATTGCTGTTGTCGCAGACTAAGGTTTGTGCTATTTATTTGATCAATCTTGTACGTAAAGTATTATATTTTGTATAAATAATTTTTTTTATTTGATTTGATTGTTATTATTGGCAAAAAATCTTGTTTTTAAAATAAAAAACAATCTTTTTTTGGTATCTTGAGCTAGAAGTTTTCACATATGCTAATGAGAATACAATATACTTTCGAAAATAACTTTAAAATATTTTTAGGTCAAGAAACATTTTTCTTTAATTTTTTTTTTATTTTCTCTAAATTTTTTGAAAATAGTTTGGACCAGTTCCAAATTTTGTTGGGTCATGAAAAATCATGTTAATTTGTCTTCCATGTCTTAGTATGATTTTCAAATTTCTTACATGGTAAAATGCTTAACACCTGATTAAGTTTAAAAATAGGTTAATTTTAGAAATTATATATGCAAAAATCTTGAGAATTACGGTAAAAATTACCTTTGTAAATTCATATAACTTCCTTCCTTAGGATTTTCAAAACGATTTGAGATAATTCTAACTTGATTTCTATTCTCATGTTTTATTAAATCTTTATTGTTAATGAAATAAAAAACACTTTTAGCTTCAAAAAATATTAAAATTATTTATGAAAGTGGATTGAATTTTTTTAGCTTTGTAGGAAAATTTCAGTTAAAAGAATACAGATATTTAATTTTTGTTAAAACAATTTTTGGTTAGCAATAATGACAAAATTAACTATATTTGTCCAAAAACATGATAGTTTAAGAACAATGTTTTTTTTACCCAAATTATATATTTATTGTGTTGTCTGGGGTTGACCTATGCTAGCTCTTTTAATTTTATTTTCTATTTAATTTTATATTGTCAAAGTTTTTTTTAAAACAACATGAATATTCTTTTAAAAAATATTGGTTATCAATTTTTTTTATTATATTATTAAAATAAGTCCAACTTATTTCACTGGTTTAAAATTATATCATCTAAACTTTGAATTTTAAAAGTAAATATCATAGCACGGTCCAAATACAGGTGTCAACATCAAATGGAATTCATAGTGAATCATTCCGTATAAAAGGGCAATAAT